TATATATATATATATATATATATATATATATATACCACTTTTATCCATTTATGAGTCAACAGGTTGTTTCCTTTAATTGATTACTATATTACTATGATTCTCACTGATATAAAGAGGGGTGTGCATGTATTGCTATATAATATGGTGACTTGGTTCTTTTGAATAAATACCAAGTTGTAATTGAGCAGGGTCACATGCTGGTTTCATTCGTAGGCTTTTGAAGTATCTCCATTCTAAGTCCATAGTAGTTTTTAATTCCACCAACAGTGCATGGATGCTCCAATCTCCCACGCCCTCACACACACACACACACACACACACAAAATTTATTCTTCTTCTTCACACTTGACATTCTAACTGGAGAGAGATTAAATATTATTGTAGTTTTGATTTGCATTTTCCTGATTGCTAAAGATATTGAACATTGCTTCACATGTTTCTTGGCCACCTGAGTTTCTTCCTGTAGTAAATGCCTCTTTAGTTCACTTACCCATTTACACAATGGACTCTTTGGGGTTTTGGTGATAAAGTTATTTTAGTTAGTTTTACATTCTGTGAAAAGGGTAGTTGGCAAAAAATTTTCTCCAATTCTTTGTTGTCTTTCTTCACAAACTTACTTCCATTGCTGTGCAGAATTTTTTAATTTGATACTTTTTGTTTGTTAATTCCTTGCTTTGTTCCTATATTTAAGGAGGCTTTCTGAGGAAGTCACTGCCGTTATCTATAGGTGGGAGAGTTGATGATGTGTCCTCTCTAAATATTATAATAAACTTTCAGATCTGATCCCAGATATTTGACCATTTTATGTTGATTTTTATACAAAGATGAAGAACAAGGATCTGCATCATCATTTTCTAGTGGAATCTCCCTGGGTGAAATGTATGGAGAGTCCCAGCAGAGGGACTAGACAGGAAGGACAGATTGCAGCAGTACAGTGAGAGCCTCCTGTGCCACCAGGGATAACTGCAGACCATACACAGCAGGCCCTCGAGGGCACTGGGATAACTGTGGCCAGTGCCGCACTGACTCAGGGGTCACCCAGTGTTTTCGATTTGCAGCACGAACTTGGTTATCACCGGGAATGGGGGGTACTGCAGCACAGAGCTGGACTCAGGGTCATCCAGGGATCAGTGCAGTCCAGTGGATCCCATACTCTGCTGTCCCTCATACATAACACTGGTCCAGGACAGAGCATGCAGTGAAGTTCAGTACTGAGCATGCACTCGGGAGACAGCTGTATAAACAGAAGAGAGAATGAACTTTGGTGGCAACTGGAGACAAATATAGGGCAGAGGGTACTTCAAAGGAACTCTAAGTGCCACCACACTCCTAACACATGGATTCATTCCAAGAAAGTTAACTATTTTACCAAAAGAACTAAACAGACACTTCTCAGAAGAATAAATACAAAAGGACAACAAATACATGAAAAAAAATGTTCAACATCCCAGGCAATCACAGAAATGCAAATCCAAAGTACATTGAGAATTCATCTCACTCCACTCAGAATGACAATCATCAGGAACAAAAGGTAACAAATGCTGGGGAGGATGTGGGGGAAAGGGTACATTCATACATTGTGGGTGTAACTGCAAATTAGTACAACCGCTCAGGAAAGAGCTAGGGAGATTCATCCAAAGACTCGGAATGGAAGCCCCACATGTCCCAGAATTCCCACTCCTTGGCATTTATCCATCTCTAAAGTCAGAATACTATAGTGATGCAGCCACATCAACATATACACCTGCATAACTCACAAGAACCAAGTTTGGAAATAACCCAAGTACCCATCAACAGGTAAACAGATTAAGAAAATGTGGTATATTTACACAGTGGAGTATTACTAAGGCACAATAAAGAAAGAAATTATGACATTTATTGGTTAATAGATGGAACTGGAGAACATCATGCTCAGTGAAATAATCCAGACTCTGAAAGCAAAGGGTTGAATGTTTTTACTCATATTAGTAACAAAGAGCAAAGTAAGGGCAAAAAGTACAGGGGAGGATCTGATATCATAAACATAGAAGGAAGAGAAGTGGAATATAAGAAGGAGAGTGAGTGAGTAGGGAGGGATTGGAAAGGTGAGGAAATGCAGAATGAAATAAACAAAATTATGCTGTGTGAACTTGTAAATATACCACAGTAAACTCATCTAAATGCATATCTATAAAGCAAAAATAAATAACTAAAATACTGTTAGGAAGAGGAGGGAAAAGTGGAGGAGGGAAGCAGAGCCACTGGAGACTGGAGCAAATTACATTCCATGCATGTATGATTGTGTCAAAATGAACCCAATATTATGTATAACCATAGTGCACTATTAAATATGAGAAAGTTAACAGTTTTACTCTGTTAAAGAGGGTGCGTTTTATAACTTCCTCATTAGATTCATGGGATTAGTGGGATGATGTAACAAATGACAAGTATTAAGAATATATCAGAATGCTATAGAAATGTGTTGGCCCCTCATCATTATTATTCACGGGGTCACTGTAATTGCCATAAATCTCTAGAATTACCTGGCAATATTAAAAATCAAACTAATTCATGAAACAGTTTCCTCTTGTATAAAAGGTAACGCTTTTACCTTGATGCACATAGTATTCTGTCTGCCCAGAGCATGGGTATGCCTTGCAATTTCACCTGTTTCAATTCTACTCTTCTTTCAGCCAGAATAATATTCATGCTCCAGTTGGTGGGCATTCTCCCCAGGATGCACACAGCAGTCTGTGGCCACATCATACTTGCATTCAGGATCAACAGCTCCTAGTTTCATACACAAGTGCTCACTCTATTAATACACCCAAAAATTAGCAGGAAATGTGGAAAGTGTTTTTGCTCCTGATTATCAAATGTTCTACATGTTCTACATGCTGCCTTCTATGTGGGGTTTACATCAATCATCAGATGGTTTTCATTTTAGCTCTCAGAAGCCCATGGGGAGCATATTTTTAAAAGTAGGTGTTTCTTTCAGCATTCCTGAAATCAGTGAGCCACTAGTTATGGGCCCCCTGGATGGGCGTGTTGCTTGAACATGTGGAGCTGTTGGTCCCTGAGTCCTCTGGGCACTGAGAGTGCTCCACCAAAGATGAAACAGAGCTTCGATGGATCCTTGATGTGGTAGATATGAAAATTCTCTCATCTCAGCCCCTAAACACTGACATCAAGAAACCCAGTCCCACATGTTAATCAGAAGGTAAGGCAGGACTGGACCCTGGAGTCTAGTTACATCCCACCACCATATCTGGTGACTCTAAAGCAGGTTCTTGTCCATTAGTGTCAAAGAGTTTTCAGCCCATGCTTCCTCAACATGCTTCCTCCTGTTATTTTTACACAGTTCCTATCACTTTCATGTAAAACTTCTATTTTGAAAACTCTTCAAAATGCAAATAAATGGAGAAGGATGGCTTTCTTCAGGTCCAAGGACTCATCAGTGGGGTTGTCTTGCAGCACTTGCTCTGGGGTCCTGCCTGTGAAATCATCCTCAGATCATGATCCATACATGCCCTGAATGAGGCCAAAATTGCTCAATACAAAGAAACTTTGGATCACCATCACAAGTTGTTTTTACCAACCAGTTAATTTGACCATGAGAAAAAGTTAATGATTCTTTTGACTTTAAAGTCTAGTCTCCGAGTATCTCCCACAGTGTTCAATGGTGACTACAGCTGGAACCCCTGCACCACGCACAGACAGCTCATCACCATGACAGATGACTACTTGTGGTTTGAAGGGTCACCTTTCCCTGTTTGGGGTTCCAGCTATGAAGTTATAAAAGAAGCATGTGCTCAGTTTGTGATAAAGGATGAAGATATAGTAATGGTGTCTTTCCCAAAATCAGGTAAGAAAACAGAACAGGAACCCCCCATGGGAAAGTTGAGGGCTGTGTTCCTCACTCACTCAGCAGAGGATGGAAAGGGTTCTCCATGCCAGCGAGCCCTGCTTTGTAGAGGAAGGGGCACTGCCCCAGGCCACTTCCATTCATACTAGTGCAGAGTGATTAAGTGCTCAGCAAGGATCATCTAAGGTCTTGGAGGAAGAAGATACAGCAGTAAATCCTAAGCAGATTCAGGCATTTGTGTGGTGGCATGAGAGAAGGGGTGGAAGAAGCTGAAAGGTGAAACCACAATAGCAAAGTAGCAGCTCAGCAGAGATGAAAAGACTGAATGGGAGGTCATGTGGTGAAAGGAATATTTTAGAGTAGAAGTGTCAGCATGGACAATGGCTGGGAATCAGAAACAAGCCTGGAAAATTGAAGGGACTGAAAGGACATGCATCATGTATATACAGAAGTGGGACTGGGGGCAGGAAAATTGCAAACTGGGTGAGTATTCAGGCCTATTTCATTGGAAGGGGCACAGCACTGGAGAGTTAAGGGAATTGGGAACATATTGAAAAGATCACAGCAAAGAGCCAAGAGGTGGAAGCAACCAAAAATCTGTTCACAGGTGAATACATTAAAAATGTGGCATGATGCTACAATGGAATATGATTCAGCCTTACAAGGAAGGAAATCCTGACACCTTCTACAACATCCATCAATATTGAGGGCATCATACTAGATGCAATAGTTTAACAAAAAAAAAAAGGACAAATACTATATTCTTCCACCAGTGCAAAATAGCTAGAGTAGTCAAGTTCATAGAAAGAGAAAGCCCCATTTCGGATTCCAGGACCTGAAAGATGGAATAAGTAGACTTGTGCTTAATAAGAAGGGTTTTAGGTTTTCAGGATGAAAATGTTCTGGACTTTGGATGAGCAACAGTAGGAATGTGCTTAACACTGCTCAGCACTACACCACTGCATGCTTAAAATGCATATGATGGTAAAGTTATGCCATGCATTTTATCACAATATATTTCTCTGTCACAATTCAGATTGAAATGAGTGATCACCATTTTCCTTCCTCATCTAGGAACCCACTGGTTGGTTGAAATTCTCTGCCTGATTCACTCCAAAGGTGATACCAAGTGGATTCGATCTGTGCCCATCTGGGAACGGGTACCATGGTTAGAGTCAGATGATGGATACAACTTGTTAAATGACCGAGAGGGTCCACGGCTCCTAGCCACTCACCTTCCCTTCCATCTCTTCCCCAAGTCTTTTTTCACTTCCAAAGCCAAGGTCAGTGCCTAATGTTTGGTCAATGTCTTTTGCCCTCCCATGTGCCTAGATAACCCCTGCTGATCTTGCTGGGGTGTGTGCTCATTGGATAGGTTGGGTGAGACCTGCGATTCTCAGAAATTAGGTGAGGTTGATGTGGCCACAACCAGACCACATTTGAGTACAAGGATGTGAATGATTCCATGGATTAGCCTACCATGAATTAAGGGTAAAGTGACTGACTACTGCTAGAATCTTAGGAAACTACATCTCATGTGCAACCAGAATTTATAATTGCATCTACAATAGACTATCCCAACTTTGCAGGTCTTACCCAATATTCATTCAATAAAAACCTCCTAACAGGTAGGTGCAAGCATGTAAGTCACTGTTGCCCATATGGGGAGCAGAGCACGCATACATTAATAAATGCATAAATCCAGGGGACTTCACAGGAGTTGTGACTAGCAATTCTAACCACGGCAGCCCACTGGAGGTCACTGTGCTTTGTGATCAGCAGCCACTCCATCCTCCCCATGGCTGACAGATGATCAGCACAGACCATGGATATCCAAGATCTAACATGCAACAGACTAATTTTAGAAACATGCTTTCTTAAAGTTTTTGTTGGTTTCTGAAATTTTTGTTTTTGTTTAAACAACACCAAGAAACCTAGAATAATAATCTCCTGTCTTAGAAATGTCATAAATTGTCTAACAGTGAGTCTTCCCTAATAGACCCACTTCCATTCTCCTGTTGTGTTTCACTAACCCCTGCCTGATTAAACTGGGGTCTAAGGAGACATGAGACCTCCAATAATAACACCAAGAGAGTTGGGGCAAATAAAGTCAACTTCTGAGGTTCAAGCCCAAGGTGGTGTGTGTGCACGTGAGTGTGTTCATTATTCTTTCACATAAGCCTCTTAATATGCACAGAAAGACATACCCAGTTGGGAACTATCATCTAGACCAGATGTATAACATTTCTACCATCCAGAACGTCCCCACAGGCCCCATCTTATCAATTGATGCCACCACCTGAGGGGAGCCCTCCCTGGACTATTGCTACAGATTGCTTTTGTTTATTCCTGAATTTTGTATAAATGCATTCATGCTGTATGGGATGCCATATCTGGGAGATTCCTCGGTGGTTTTGAGTGTGAGAATGACTGTGTGTTGCTATGAATCTGAATATACCATAATTGATTAATCAGTTCTGCTGTTAGTGATCATTATGGAAAGCACACACACACACACCTCAACACCTACCATCTAAAACTTTCCAGCAGCTTCCAAGGTTGAGTAGACTAATATCCAAGGAAGAAGAGACAAGGTCTTCCTCTTCTATTCCTAGCACATGAATATGTAATAGGAACTTTAAAAATCCATATTTGATTAATGAATGTTATAATTAATTCATTAAAGGAATTCATTGATGTTTAACAGTGATTAAGTAAAAACTCCTGAGGTAAAGATCAAGAATGGGTGAAAAATGATGATTGAGACTGATTTTTCATTCTGTCATTTTTCCTTTATTTAAGGTGATATATATCATGAGAAATCCCAAGGATATTCTTGTGTCAGGTTATTATTTTTATACTATGACAAACATTTCTAAGAAACCAGAGTCAGTGGAACAATATTTTCAATGGTTCATCCAAGGAAACGGTGAGTGTTCTGTGACACACAGATCTGTGTCCTCTACTCTGCTGGTCTTTCTTTTATTTTGTGGTATCCCTATTTTATTCTTCTTCTGCATATGTTCCACTCATGAGAGAAAACAGACAACCTTGACTTTGTGAGTCTGGCTTGTTACAGTCTGCATGCTGATCTCTAGTTCCATTTTCTTGAAAATTACATAATAGAGTTCTTTTTAACTAAAACTCCATCTTGTGTATGTACCACATTCTCTTTATTCATGCATCAGTCAGTGGACACCAGGCTGATTTCATAACTTAACTTTTGTAAATTGAACTGGCATCAACATGGGTGTGCTGTATTGCTATATTGTGCTGACTTTAATTCTTTTGGGTAAATACCAAGGAGTCTATGACTGGGTCATATGGCGGTTCCATTCCTAGTCTTTTCAGGAAACTCCATACTGATTTCTGTGATGGTTGTACTAATTTCCAATCCCAGGAGTGTGTAGGTGTTCATTTTCCCTCACATCCCTGTCAGCATTTACCATTATGTGTGTTCCTGATGATTGCCATTCTAACTGGAGTGAGATGCAATCTCAGTGCAGCTTAGATTGGCTTTTCTCATGTTTTTAAAAATGTTGAAAATTTGTTTCATAAATTTGTTGGCCATTATATTTCCCCTTTTGAGAAATGATTGTTCATTTGCCCATCTATTGATTGGGCTATGTGATTATTGGTGTTAAGATTTTTGAGTTCTTTACATATTCTAGATGTTAATCCTCTTTCAGAAGAGTAGCTGGCGAAGATTTTCTCCCATTCTGTAAGCCCTCTCTCTCTGTCTCATTTCATTTGCTGTGCAGAAGCTATTTAACTGGAAGCCATTCTATTTATCAACTCTTGGTTTTGTTTCCTGAGCAACAGGAGTCTTATGGAGGAAGTCAAGCCTGGATCTATATGGTGGAGAGTAGGCGCTATGATTTCCACTGGTAGTCACAGTGTTTATAGTCTAATTCCTATGTTATTTGTCCACTTTGAGTTGATATTTGTGCAGAATTTCGCTTCATTCTTCACTTTTCCAGGCACCATTTATTAAACATGCTATGTTTTCCCCAATCTTTCCTTTTGGTGACTTTCAGCTGACTCTTTGTGGGTGTTTTTTGAGTCTTTCAGCTGACTCTTTGTGGGTGTTTCTCTGTGTCTTCTATTCTAATCAATTGATCTATGTCTGTATTGATATTAGCACAATTTTTTGTTTCGTTACTTCTTTAGTATGATTTGACACTGGGAAATGTGATAATTTCAGCATTACTCTTTTTTATTTTTTATTTTTTTAGTTGTAGATGGACACAACATCTTTATTTTATTTATTTATTTATTTTTTTATGTGGTGCTGAGGATCAAACCCAGTGCCTCCCCCACACATATGAGGCTCTACCCCTGAGCCCCAGCCCCAGCCCAGCATTGTCCTTTGTGTATGTGTGTGTGTTGGGGATTAGACCCAGGGCCTGGCACACGCTGCTCCAGTGCTCTGTCACTAGCCACATCCCCAGCCCTTCATCATTGTTCATATTGCTCAGAATGGCTTTAGGTTTTATTTGTCATAAAAATTTGGGGACAGTTTCTTCTATTTCTGTGAAGAATGTCATTGCTATTTGATGGGGATTGCATCAATTCTTGAGATTCTTTGTTTTTTCTTTCCTCTGTGATTTATTAACTATTTCAACACCCTTTGCAGAGATTTATATATAATTTGCCCCCAACATTTTAATGCTCGTGAGTTAACCAAAATTTTAAATATCTGCCTCAAAGAACAGCCAAGTCACCTAACCTGGAAATTCTAAACATTGGTCATAAATAAACTTCTATTACTATAGCTGATCTCTCACTTAAGGAATGAAAGTCACAAATAATTTTTTCCTGTAACTGTAAACTAAATATCATTGTATTCTGGCCTCAACACATTTAAGAATTTCTGCAATTTGGCTAAATTGTGAGCAGGGCTGGCCCTGGTATTTTCCATACTAAGTACTTTAATTCTACATGCAATAAACATTGCATTTGAAGTCTCATGCATTTTTGATACAGGCCTGTATTGTTTCATTATATTCCAACTTGCTTATCAGCATGCTAGGTTTTTTAGTTTTTTATTTGTTTTAATTAGTTATACATGACATTATAATGCATATTATACTAAGCAAAATAAGCCAATTCTAATAAATCAAAAGTCGAATTTTTTTCTAATATGTAGATGCTAATTCACAATAAGAAGGAACACTAGAGAAAAGAGTTTCCTTAAATTACGTAAAGGGAGGTGAAGGGAGGGGAGGGGGTGTGGGGATAGGAAGGACAGTAGAATGAAACAGACATTATTACCTTATGTATATATGTGACTGCAGGAGCAATGTGATTTTACAACATGTATACTCGGAAAAATGAGAAATTATATCCCATCTATGTATGATTTTGTAGATTTCTTTTGGTAATGTGGCATTTTTGATTCTGGGTATACAAGAATATGGGAGGGCCTTAAACTGTCTTCTTCAATTTCTTTCTTCAGTGTTCTACAATTTTCTTTGTCAGAGGTCTTTCTCCTTTTAGGGATATTATACCTAAGGTTGTTTGTTTTCTTTTTTCTTTTTTTTTCTTTTTTGTTTGTCTGTTTGTTTTGGTACCAGGTATTTAACTGAGAGGTACTTAACCACTGAGCCATATCCCCAATCTTTTTATATTTTTTGGAGAGACAGGGTCTCAGTGAGTTGCATAGGATCTTGCTAAGTTGCTGGGGCTGGCTTTGAACTCTCGATCCTCCTGCCCCATCCTCGTTATTATGAAGAAAAGTTCTTAATTTTTATGGACTGAACTTGGGTACCAGTTTATAAGTGTTTTGGGAGAGCTTTTTGGGAATTCAAGCCGCATCGTGTCATCTGCAAAAGATGATATTTTGGCTTCTTTCCATCCTACTTGTGATTTTTTGATTCTCTTCTCTTGTCTGATGTCACTAGCTAGATTTTCAAGAACTCTATTGAATGGGAATGGTTAGAGTGGACATAGTTTCCTTCTTCCTAATTTTAGGACAAATGTTTCAAGATTTTCTCCATTTAGCATAATGTTGGCTTTGGGGTTTGTCACAAAAACCCAATTATATATTGAGCACACATAGCCTTTATGATGCTCAGGTAAGTTCCTCTGTCAAGGAAAATTCTGTTGATGTGGTGAAATTCATTTATGCATTTGCATGTGTTGACCCAAACTTGCATCCCAGGAATGAAATCAAAATGCGATGTGTATGATCTTAAAGTGTGAACACAACATGTCCTGTGTGTGATCTTAATGTTGAATGGGATTTGCTAATATATTAATAAGGTCTTCTGTATCTGTGTTCATCAGGAATATTGGTCTGTTGCTTTCTTATTTGGTGTGTTTTAGTCTGGGTTGGGTATCAGTATGATACTAGTTCCATAGAATGAGATCAGGAATGATCCCCTTCTATACTTCAGTACCTAGTTTGAGGAGTACTTATCAACTATACATGTACAAGATGTCAGATTTAGAGTGACAGGGATGGCAAAGCACCTGTTATGGTAGTATGTAACCTGCATATCTGTGCCTGCCCCACAGTGCCCTATGGATCATGGTTTGAGCACATTCGTGGCTGGATGTCCATGAGAGACAGGGAGAACGTCCTGCTGCTGAGTTATGAAGAGCTGCAGAAGGTGACATCCCTCTCATAGTCAGCACCCACCAATTCCTGGCCACCCTTGTTCCCTCTGATGCCCCTGGTCCTCAGTGTCTACACTCCATATTCCCTGCCAAAGCATAGACTCTCAGAGGTCACTAAGAGTAGATGAGCCCTTGGTCTCCACTTTTCTTCTTTTGTGTGACCCTCTCCAAGCTCCAAGATCTTATTTTTTTAATTTGTTATATATGACAGAAGAATGAATTACAATTCACATTACACACATGGAGCACAATTTTTTTGTATCTCTGGTTGAACACAAAGTAGAGTCACACCATTTGTGTCTGTATACATGTACTATGGTAATGAGTTCCATGTCATTCCACCATATTTCCTACCCCCATGCCCCTGCATTCCTCCCTCCTCTTTGCCTGTTTAGAGTTTACCTAATCCTCCCATTGCCCCACCCTAACCACATTTTGAAGCAGCACCCTTAAATCAGAGAAAACTTTGGGCATTTGGTTTTGACAGATTGGTCCAAGCATTTTCTTCATGTCTTCAAATTTATTTCATTTGGCAACATCTAAAGGGTCCTTCCACACACTGAGGCAGAGGGACATGGCTTATGCTAGCACCTTTGGCTGCCAAGGTTTCTGGGTGCAGGACCTATGATGTGGACAGAAACTTAGTGATAAGAAGGGATTGGCCAGAAAACATTGATCCCAGAGTTGTGTCCACCTCTCTGTATTCTCCCCATGACTGATGCAGTGACATGAAGGGAAATTGTCACTTTGTGAATCTATTCTGAGAGGTCAGGGGCTGAAGTAACAGAAAAGGCCTGCAGATGATGCTCAGCACTGGTGGGTGGGTGCAGGGTACAGCTGGGTAACAGCAATGACTGCTAATGACCTGTAGCACAGTGCGGTGACTATGGAGAACAGTAGTTATACATTTATAATCTATAAGCAAGTGGAGAGGGTTTTGAATATTCCCAATTAAATAAATTATTCATGTCTGAGTTTGTAGATGTGCCACTTGTATAGATTGGATTGTCATATATTGAATAGGTACTTATTCTAATCTTATTTTTCTGTTGAGCACAAAAATCCCACACCTAACTGCACAAAGACGCACAGTTCTCTTTGTGAGTTTCATAGGTCGAAAAGTAACCCACTTCAATCTAATGTATGAAATATGATATGTCAAGAGCTTTGTAATGTTGTGAACAACCAATAAAAAAAAGAAAAAAAATGAAAAAAAAGAAAGAAAAGTAATTGAAAATTTTTAAATTTTTAGACTTTATTAGAATTGGAAACAATATAAGAAAAAGCAAAAGAGTAACAGAACTTTAGGAGACATTTGGCCTGTGAGCCTGTCTTGGGGACAGAGAAGATGCCACAGGCACAGGCATCTGCTTCCCCTGGAGAAAGGACCTTGGTCACATTCCTGTAGCTGCTTCCTGTCCTTCTGTGTCCTCAGCATGAGGTCAGTTCTCACCAAGGACCTTGATGCCACTCAGCCACCTCAGCAGCAAGCTCCTATATGTCTCTGTGATTCTCCTCTCAAATCACACAACACATTTTTAAATTATTGCCACAGTTGTGTGTCTTCTTGCTGTATAGTGCCTGGGGCTCTTGTAAAAAAGCAGATAATGAACACTATAGTCTGAAGAGAAAGGTCTAGGATTCTAAGCAACCCATTCTTCTTATAAAGATCTATTTCTTAGTGTGATCTCCCAGGAATATACATCAATGATCATGGAACTCACGTTTAAAAAGATACTATGAAGTCCTATGTATTATTCAAGTGTCATTTATGGGACACACTATGATTCGGTGGAAGGATTAGTCTTTGGGGGTTTGTCTCCCTTACTTATCTCCCATTCTTTTTTTTAATAAATTTTCTTATTTGTGGTGATTAGTTGAACATGACAGTAGAATGTATTTATGCACTTTGATATACAGAGAAGAGATATAATTTTTCATTTCTCTGAGTGTACAAGTTGCAGAATCATATGGGTCATGCAGTCACTTACATACATAGAGTAATAATGTCTGTTTCATTCTACTATCTTTCCTATGTCCACATCCCTACCCCTCCCCTCCCCTCACTTTTCTCTACCTCATCTAAGGTAAAGCTATTCTTCCCTAGTGCCCTCTGCCTTATTGTGAATTAGCAGTCGCATATTAGAGAAGACATTCGGCCTTTAGTTTGGTGGGATTGGCTTCTTTCGTTAGCATGATATTCTCCAACTCCAACTATTTATTGGCAAATCCCATAATTTCACTCTTCTTTAAAGCTGAGCAATATTCCATTGAGTATATATACCACATTTTCTATATCCATTCATCTATATTGAGGTTGGTTCCACAGTCTAGCTATTTTGAATTGAGCTGCTAGAAACTTTGATGTGGCTGTGTCCCTGTAGTATGTTGATATTAAGTCCTTTGGGTATAAACCAAGGAGTGGGATGGCTGGGTCAAATAGTGATTCCATTCCCAATTTTCTATGAAATCTCCATACTGCTCTCCATAGTGGTTGCACCAATTTGCAGTTCCACCAGCAACGAATGAGTGTGACTTTTCTCCCACATCTTTGCCAACATTTATGATTGCCTATATTCTTGATGATTGCCACTCTGACAGGAGTGAGATGGATTCAAATTAAAAAGCTTTTTCTCAGCAAAGGAAACAATTCATAAAGTGAGGAGAGAACCCATAGGTTGAGAGAAAATTTTTACCACATCCACCTCCAATAAAGCCTTAATCTCTAAGATATATAAAGAACTCAAAATGCTTAACACCACAAAAACAAATAACTCAATCAATAAATGGGCCAAGGAACTGAGTACACACTTCACAGAAAAAGAAATACAATTGATCAAAATATATGTGAAAAGTGTTCAACGTCTCTAGCAATTAGAGAAATGCAAATCAAAACTACTCTAAGATTTCATCTCACTCCTGTCAGCTGGCAATTATCTTCCATTCTTAAGAGTCTCTTTAGAAATCCCATCACCTGCCTTTGAGGTGTCCTGAGCTCACTCTCACTGGAAAGCCCCTGTTGATCTTCACGTCATCACCTCCTTCACTCCCTCTGCTGGCCCCTTGCCCTTTTTCTCCCTCTGTCCATCACCCCTTTCAGTCTTTTCCCATTTTGAGATGTCGTCCTCTCCTCTTCCTCCCCCACACTCCTCCTAACACTTCTGTTCCCATTTCCCATCTCTGCTGTCCTTCCTGTTCAGAGCATCACTCTTGATTGTTCACATTGTAGGACCCAAGAAGCACCATAGAGAAGATCTCTCAATTCCTGGGAAAGAAGTTAAATCCAGAAGAACTGGACTCAGTCCTCAAGAATAGCTCCTTCCAAGTCATGAAACAAAACAAGATGTCCAATCTTGAAATATTGCCTGAAGAATTCTCTTCTAGTCATTTCAAAATTACAAGAAAAGGTAACTGCTCTGTTTTCAGAATGTGTGAGAATGCTTGGAGAGCATTCTGTGTTTACCACCCAACAATAAGGGTGACAGTGGTGAAAGGTATCAACTTTAATCATTCATAACCAAGAAAGCTTCTTGTGTGCCCTAATGGAAAAAAAATGTTTTCATGGGACTGGGATGGGCTTCAGGTACCAGAGAAAGTTGATGCAGTTTGGAGAGAAGGGTGGGTTTTGGAGATGGTTGTGTCTAGGCTACTCCACTGGTGACTTTCCATAGAGAACTGCCCTAAAGAGAGAGATACACAAAGAAAGACCAAATTGGAGAAAGTAGGGAGTGGGTTATTT